AGTTGATCATCACCATCTCCGTTGTAGCAAACATGGCAACAGGTAAACGTGTAATATTTCCCATTTACGTAACAGAACATCGTTAATGCGCCTTCTGAAACTGTCCGATTGTCTCTTTTTACTGCAATCTTAGATAACAGTTGAAGCTTCGGTGTTGTGAATGGTTTCGCACGAAATTCAAAATACTTCGATGCATCAGGTCCAAAATTCTGATTCATTTCATTCTTAAGAAAATCTTCATCAAAACTTCCTTTCTCGAAATCAACTGTGACAAACAAATGGAAATATGGTATTTTTTCGTTTGGACTGACTTTTCCATACTCTCCACGCATCCGAGGTAAACTGTAAAATAAAAAAGTGAAGGGAAAGTTTAACAAAAAGAAATCACGTATGTATGATTAAAATACTTGTTCACGCAAATATTTTTGACAAACATAAACTGTCGATAAGAAACATTACACAGTGACACATAGAAAGTTTGAAAACATATAAAGTAATTACACGATATTTACAGAGTGTTAGGTTACAAAATGTGATGACGATAATGTAGTGAGATTTTGTGCGTTAGCTGTTAAGCGATAGAGTGGGGTTGAATGGAGTTAGATGACTTAGGTTCAACCCAGGTTTATATTTTGCGTGTAAACACTATTAACAAAGGTTTAACATAGGTTAAAATCAACCTATATCTTTTGAGATGGGCAAGGCAAAGGTTACTTTATTTCGTGTGTATAAGGCTTGGGATGTTAATGAACTATCAATCCTCCTTTGGAGCCCACAACACACATACAAAATTTAGCACGAAATTCAAATATGAAAAACAGGCAGTGAATGAAGCTAAAGATAGTTGTATCAGTTGTGGCTCGTCACAGTAATTCGATGAATATTTTGTAGATGTAGAGTATTGAGAACGACGGTTTTTGTTGTTGTTGACTGACGTTTCGACAACTTTAGCGGTAGCTATCTTCAGAGTCAAATGAAGAGTAAACGTCTCAGGTTTTCCAGATATAATAAATTCAATTATGGTAAATTTTCAACAAAAATAGGCCAGTTTTCTGCCAACTTCTGTGACACCGAAAGTTAGTAATAGTAAGAGCAAAAATCGACTTTTGAGGGACTAGTAACGAGCAAAAGTGCAATCTACCAGATCAGATCAATCGGAATGCAACACCATTTAATGGCTTAATGTTTAAAATTTAATCGAAATTTGAAATGGAACAAGAAAAATTTGTAAATATTCGTTTGAAAATTTGAAAAGTTATAAAAATCTGTAATGTTCGTTAAAGTCCTAATAGTTACATTAATATTTGGAAAGATTTGCACTTCAAATGCAGTTCAAATGATTATTCATTATTGTCGAGTCAGTTTCATCGATAACGTTGAGACAAAAAGGCTTGCTTTTGCTTTTCATTGCTGCGCTGAATGTAGACGACGCGACGCACAAGGGTGGATCAAAGCTAATTTAAATGTATGCAATCAGAAAAATCTACAAAAATTACTAAACTCCAACATACTGTGAAATGTGTTCAGCGTGTTTGGGAAAATAATATAAAAAGCCAATTTTCGACCATGGCAGACTCGACAAAAAAATTTCTGCCTGACAAAATTTTTTAGGCCTTTTTGTGTTTTTTGGCCGAAATTATGCTCATCTGGCAACCCTGAAACGTCAAGTTAGCCGTATTTGTTATCTGGTTCTTACGTCATTATATTGTGTGTACAGGAAATGTTGCAAGGTGCAGGTAATTGCTGCGATCTGTTCAGGGGGGTTTGTTCCGAAGTTGGTGTACCAGTTCTAATGTAAGCTGTTGTTTATAGTCAGTACTGTAAGTAATGCATTTTGTCAAGTCTCAGTCAATGTTTTGTTTCGTCAGTAGGTGATGTTCGGCAATGTGATAAGTTTTGTCTTATTTCTTTGTAGCTGCTTTGTGCTTTACATTAAACGTACTTATTAAAGAATTGTTAAAAATATAGTCTTTTCAAATGTTATTAGAAAAAATTAAGAAAAAACACACGACTCGTTAGCCCAGAAATAGTAATACAAGATGTCCTACATATGTAAATCAATAAAAGTCATAAGCGTGTTGATTTATATGCCACATTATGAAGAAATATAGCGACTCAATTAACTATATTATTGTTTGTAATATGCTTACTGAGGTGAAGAACTTTAGTCTAATTTAAAATTTCATATTGAACATTGCTAAAAATCATACCAAGATAAACTTATCTTTAATTTTGTATAACTGAGTATTGTTAGCATAGTGGATGATATTTGTCAATTTTAAGAGTTAGTGTTTTATAAAAGTAGACTTGCGATCGATATATAATGGAAAATTACGATATTATTAGCTAAAAATTGTTGCAATAATATTTGTTTAGTGACATTGCTGCTCTAATTATGTTCAGCAATGGTTTATTTCTCTAATACCTATGTCGTGTGTGTGACTTTCAACATGCACTCGTCAAAGGTCGTCGTCAGACACTTTAATTAAATAAAATGCTTAGTAATCGCATTTCTATGTTGTGGGTGGAATACTAAAACTTTTAATGTCGAGAGAAACAAGGAATGGCGTGAAAAGCAAAAGCGCGATGTGCGAGTGTCTCAACGCAATGTCCATTAATTTCATCAATTAATTAAATAAACCAAACAGAAAACCATTTACGAATGTGAGTCGAAGGAAAACACTTGGAAAACAGTTCGACTATCAGACGATACAATTTGAAACGATTTCTTTTTGGTGACAAAACTAGAAAAATGAAAGTCAACCCGTGCAAAACAACAAAGACGAGAAAGAAAGCAGCTTCCCGTTTCTAGTCAATTAATGCCATATAACAAACCTTTTGACAACCTTGCTTTTGTCTCTTTACTGAGAAATATCGGACCTCTGTCTTTGTAAAACGTCGCCCTACGGCTCGGTCTTGAACAAAAAGACCTCGGTCCAATATTTCTTCGTAAAGACCTCGCACCCGGTTATTAAGAGCTTAATAACAAATACTTTTTAAAAATTGAATGGCTACTCTACTCGTCATCCTTGTTGACATGTGTGATTCTATAAACAACATTTATAAAATAAACACAGTAAAACGCGTGCGCTGATTGGTCTAGAGCTGTGTTTGCATTAGCCTGTGCAAAACACACCCAAGCTCCACCAATCAACTCAATCAATCATTCAGCAGCGGCAAACCGAGACTCTCGAGCAGGTGCAACTCGACGTTTGGTCTCGCGCTTGCACTGATCTGTCTCGAGTCTCCCAAAAGTCTCCTCGGCTTGCATAAGCCTGTGCAAACACAGTAAACATCTTTGTTTCTTAAATCTATGAAAAGCATGGTTATGTATTGGTGATTGGTGCACGAACTCACAGAACTGTCCGTAATTTATGTAAGATACATTAAAAATTACTTTTATTATATTACCAAGAATTTAACAGCAGGGGAGGCACATGACGAAATTGTTTTGAAGGGTAAAGGACAAAGGCGAGCAGTAAAATAAATCAAAAGATAGTATTAGAATTTTCGATTAATCTTTAGCTTCCAAAGAGAGTTTTTGTCATAAATTAACTTACGTGAGCCAATCGCCACAGGCTTCGACGTTATTTACAATCATACAGAATCATGATAGACACAATATTATATAATAACCAGAAGAATTTGAGCAAATTCATTGGTCTAGAGCTATGATCTAAAAGAGGACAGACACACGGAATTGATGTCACACAAAACTTCTTGTTTTAAATGAAGAACGAACAGCAAACGTATTTGAATATTTATCTGAATTCATCCCTGAATGGGCAAGTAAAGAATTTAAGAATGCTTAGTTGAAGCAGTGGACGTATTTGAGCTAAAAAGAAAGAAAAAACCTAATTTTCAAGCATTGATTTGTAGTTCGTCTTCGATAACAAAATTTCAAGAAAATTGATCAGCTATTGCTTGTTTGTTTTGTCAGTCAATCCCATTTTATCATGCGATTAAGATAGCCAATGCATTTCCTCAATCTTATAGGTCACGCAAGCAAAGAGCACTTTATTCTTCAATGTTCCAAGTGTTAGGGACAAAGAAAACAAACTCTTTGACCGTTTGATTTGGGATTTTTGATTTTATTATATAAACTACTCGTGGCCACTTTTTTAGTTTATATCACAATGGCGTCATACACGTGTATCTATAACTGTATAGACAACGGTTAAATGTTATCTATTTGTTAATTTTGTCATGTTATGTTTGATGAAGAATTTTTAGAAGTAAAAAGTTAAGTGAATTGCCAAAAAAACTACATTACCTTTATTATGTGTACACACGATCCTTTTTTAAGGATCCGACAAATCGGATCGTGTGAACCAAAAAAGGCGCTGTGAGGAGCCAATTTTCATGTAATGATATATTACAACAATACTAAAACAATCTAATTATAAGTTATGCATGCGCATTACATGTACATCATCATGTTAAAATGCATGCTATATACAAGCTATGCTTTTACTAACGGGTTTTGACAATATATACTACAAGTCTGACAGTTCTGTCCGACAACACATCTTTGCACCGTAAAAATTTTTCATAAAAAATTCCAATACACGAGCGTGAAATGCCAATCTAAAACCCATAAAAATGAGAATTACTCCGTTAAAGCCCTTTGGTTCATCTCGAAATGAATCTTTGACGATTGGTGCCAGTTGTTCCACAGTATCCAGTAATACAGACGAAAATTTCACCAATATTTCAACAAAATATATTAATAGTGCAAGGCAATAAAACGAAATCTTAGGAACTTTCTCTACACATTCAACCGAGTTTTTTAGACAGTCCAAAAAGCGTTGACCTATGCTATGACCATTCATTTCATCTGCTCCACCTCCTCCATTTACTCCACCTGCTCCAGCTTCTCCACCTCCTCCATTCATTTCACCTGCTCCACCTGCTCCATCTCCTCCATTTCCACCTCCACCTTCCACCTCCTCCATTCACTCCACCTGTTCCTCTTCTCCACCTCTATTCACTTCACCTGCCCCCTGCTCCACCTCCTCCATTCACTCTCACCTGCTTCCCCGCTCTACTAATCCATTCCTTCACCTGCTTCCCCTGCTCCACCTCCTCCATTCACTTCACTTGCCCCCTGCTCCACTTCCTCTATTGGCTTGTAGAAACCTGACGTACACAGTTTACAACACCTGATGAGTACTGTGATAGTTGGAACCCAAAGAACAAAAAGTAAAGTCATTAAAACTTTCTTCCCAGAACGTAAGCAGTTATAAAACCCTAATGTCAGTACCATTAGGAAGAGCAAAGAAAAAGAGCCTTTTTTATGAATATTTTTCCACTGTTCTTTGACGAATTCGAAATCATCATCGCATATAAATACTGTGATAAGTATTAGTGATGATACGATGGATAGGGAAAGCCATGTTGTAATCCACGACACAGCATCACCTAATCCAAGCACATGATCTAATGTACAATTCTGAACCGGCTTCTCCATAGAAATCATGCAACGCCAGTCGTAACTTGCAAATACAACAGTTGCCATAATGCGAGGTATGATGAACAACAGAAAAAGTCGCTGAAACACATACATGTAAATAATAAATAAACGTTTAGCAATAATTATGCCTCTTCATTTATGTCAAGTCAAGCGAGTTTGGAGCAAATTAAATTTCTAGCAAACTAGCTTACGTAATATTTTTGCAAACCAATAAAGAAGCAGAGGTTAGATACTTGCAGCCGTCGACTGCCTTCGACTTTAATCAAAAAGGGGTTTCACTGAAATTAGTGTACGCTTCAAACATCAATTTCAAATTTCAAAATCAAAACTTTAATACACTATACTTAAGGATAATGAAAACGTTTGAAATCGAAAGGTTATTACCAAACATTTTATGAAAGTATTTCTTAAAAAGGCAAAAAAGGAAGCAATTTGTTTTATTGGTCCATATGATCAAATGCCGACACAAATATGCAACAACAAACGAATGAAAAAAACTTTTTAATTTTTTTTTGTAATAAACACCGATTTAATGCTCATTTCCTCTTCGATAGAAGCAGCAGTTTAATCAGTTGTCACTTTGCAATAGAATCTCCTAAAACTACACACGTGTCGGGTATGAAATCTCCGAATTCATTTATTTATTTCATGTAGAGTTGGAATGTATATTAGCTCAACGGGCGTAGGTCACTCCAGTGCTTTTTTGCTTACACAATGAGCGCTCGAGGTTGCTATGGAAATTGCAGATCCACGTCAAAACATCAGGTCGACATCTGGAGCACTGGGCTGATGTCATCAATCTAATTATAGATCAATTTTATGAATGTATCGTTTCAGGTGATATTACAGTTGACTGTTATCGCCATGTTTTTATTTTGATGGCTTGTGTGAGACATAAACAAAAAAAAATAGCTTTTATAACCATAGGCGGCAATTTATGCAATCGATTTATGTAGTAAATATATTCCTTGATTTATATGCAATGTTTCGTCACGCACGCTTTCTCCGCGTGAGTTACATGTATGTATGTTCTCGCAGTGCAGATTGGCGGAATTTTTGTAAAACTAATCAAAAAAAATTGTAGCCAATCTGAATGTATGAGAAAACAATTTTAGTCAATCTGCATTGCGTTTGAGCATTCAAAAATATGACGAATGTGTAGATAAGTGTCCCCAGCAAAGATTTTAAAAAATATTTGCCACAAACCCAAAAAACATTCGCATTTTTCAAATGAATAGAAATGCATTTTAATATTAAAAAAACTGCAAAAATACAGAAAATTATTCGTGATTAATGAGATGTATTTCTTTTTGTGTTCTTCAATGTACTTATAAGATATTTATGGTTTTATGAAAGTATTTGTGTTAACGGTCGTTAATTTTGTGTTGAGAGTTGCCTACCTTGTCCAAATATAAGACCTTTAAGACCATACAAACGCGGAATTCGCGTGAGATAGCGCGCGTGACAAACATTGCATATAAATCAAGGAATATATTTGCTAAATAAATCGACTGCATAAAAAATATGAACAGATTTCTTGGCTGCCTATGCTGATAAACAATGACAGCTTTCATTGTTCGTGTGTCTGCCAAAAGTACAAAAACAAAACAATATAAAAATTGTCAAGTAAAAAAATTGCTTATGTAAACCTGCAAAGCTGAAAAATCATTGTGCAATTTAAATATCGAAACTTTTAGGTTGAATTACGCTTTGTAACTAAAGAGTTCTACTCAACAACTGCCTGAGGTATCAATTGCATTGTACAAGTTTCATTCCGAAGATCATAAAGCAGTAACTGAAAAGCATCAAGATCTTAAACTACACAATTATTTCTTATATCATTAAGGCAGAGTCAAGAAAAAGTTACCTTAAGGCATGTTAAAGGGTCCATTCGTGGTTTCGGGCATGTCATTGAACAAATGCAACAATTACAGCACTTTCTGATAAGTTTGTATATCAATTTGCAGATTTCATTCACCCAAAAGACTAAGAAGCACGTAACACTGGATACAATCAAGCATACAGGAAGATAAATAACCAAAATGATACAGCAAAAGACCTCAATTATCCAATGGCATCCAGGTTTAAAACATGAAATCGGACTTTTCCTGTAAGTCTCTTTGATGCATGGGAGATAAAGGTCTGCTTTCCGACGACATTATCAAGGTCTGTTTTCAATAAAAATCCATCACTATGGCAATACTAATGTTTAACATTTCTCCTGCGCATGACTTGCACCTATACGTATATTCCCAGCATATCTTCCATGTCTGAGTAAATGTTTGACTGTCTGAGGCAAATTATGGGAATGGAAAAATATTGCACTGGAATGCTAATAAAGCAGTCAAAGTAGCGAATGTAACTGAAATGTTACATGTTTGTAAATGTAGATCGTCCAGGTTGGTATAGTCCTGAGAAGGACTGTTTTTGTTGCTGTTGACTGACGTTTCGACAACCTTACGGTAGTAATCTTCAGAGTCAAAATCTACATTTACAAACATGTAACGATACTCCAGGGTTCAAACCATTTACTTTGTTACTGAAATGTCTGGTACACAAGCGCATAAAATTCTCATTTTTTTCAAATGTTGCCTTTTCTGCCTTCAAAATTTAGAATACATGAATTATTATTCCTATGACCTTATGCGAAGAATATAGCTATTTTGACGAGTATTAGATATATGTTAAATGTAGCAAATATTTTTGTTTCTCGTCAAACTTTATCAAATTTTTGTAGGCATTAACGAATTTCGTTCCATTTCAACAATCCTATGTCGAAAAAGACGTCGAGGAAGAATTACAGGGAAACCTGCAGGAAATATCCCCTTCATGAAAGAGTATGTGTTAAAAGAGACATGGATGTGACTTGATTGCCAGGAATGGACATGAATGTGACAAAACTTTAACTTGAGAAATCATCCGACTGAAAGACATTACAACGTACAAAGAAAGTTTGAAAACATAAATACTAATTTAAGCCTGGTCACACATGACTGAGGCATTATTAAGGGCAAGCCTGATGTTTTCTGATCTTGTGGTTGAGGTAGGCCTGAGGCATGCCTGCGATGCGTTTCAATGACATAATTCAAATCTCCGATAGACTACAAAATTTAGCGGCAGTTTGAATTTGACAAAATAGTGCTTCGTAATTTGAAAATAGCGTTACTATTAGCAAATTATGCGGCCATTTTAACAGTCATTTCAAAAATACATCAAAGATGGGAGAGCCGCCTAAAAAAGAGAATTATTTGGATTTTACCTTTGGATTTTTGTACTCTGGACACGATTTATCATAAATAGCCCGATAGTTGCGTATTGTATCCATAAGGTTTTATTTTATCGTGAAGTGATCGGAATTGTTCCATTGAGTCTTTTTGGTTCCATGTCCTGTGTTGAAAATTCATCCGCCATCTTTTACCCTAATGCGTGATGGGAACTCAACTCAACTCTTGTGGCATTTTGGCGCATACCGCAAGTAATCCTACGACTGCCTGAAACACCATTAGTGTGTCAGCGATGAGTGTTCACATTTGCCTTAAGAGCACTGCAGGCATCGTCACAGGTATCCCTCAGTCAAGTCTCAGTCATAGGTGAACCAGGCTTAATGTTGTTGAAATTCATCAATTTCTAAAAGATTCCTATTTGTTTGAATTTTTTATTATGTTCAAAGATCATGAAACATGCATTAATTCCGACTTTCAAGTAAACGAATATCCTTTACAAAACATGTGTTCAAAATTGATTTGAAAAACTTGGAGAAATTTTAACGGAAGTTAAAATGAGCACATTATTCCACTAAAGAACTTTATCAAGAATTTTTAAATTTTTATTGCAAATATGTTTCGGCAAATTTATGCCATCTTCAGTGCGGTATAATGAATGAATACTTGATTGGAGTTAATATGTAAAGAAATCTGATACAAGAGTGTAGATAAAAGCGGACGCGGACGACGGACGCGGACGGCGGACGCAAAACGCGCAAATAAAATGCTTTAGTCCGTTTAATACAATGAGCTTTCATTGCGTTACACTTATATGACTGACTGCAAATTGAAATATGCATGTTTAATTGCTTTAAATAATGAGGTCACAAAATATATCCTGAAAGATAAAACTCGTACAAACAGACGTACTGCTTTGCCGAATGGCAAGTTGACGGAAACCATTATCAGTGCAGTAAATATGAACAGGCTCACGCACGTAAGACCAACATGAGTGAAATGCCATTGACAAAACACGAAAATAATACAATGAGGTTTCATTGCGTTACACTCTATATGACTGACTGAAAATTGAAATATGCACGTTTTGCGTCCGCCGTCCGCGTCCGTCGTCCGCGTCCGCTTTTTATCTACACCTCTGATACAAGACATGTGTATAGACAAAAGGGATGGAAGCGGAAGTTATTTACAATTATCTAGTGATTAGAGATGTTAAGTATTTACAAGTTGAAGATAGTATTGACATGATGAATTTGTTTGTTAAGATTAGGCTTGAGTTTTTTGATGTACAGTGCTTCTTTTAGTTTTAAACAAGAAGGAGTGTGGAAACTGTCTAATATACGAACGCAGGATTGTGAGTATTTAGATTTGCAGTCAGATGATGAGAGGAGGTGTTTGAATATGTGAGAGTTTCTATCGGAAGTGGTATGCTCTTTAATCCGTGTGTAGAGGTTGTTTCGCCAATGTGAAGCGAGAATTACATCCCGCACAAGAGAATTCCAAACCACGTTGGACTTTAAGAGGAAAGCGATGGTGTCTTTGAAGAGGAAGAAGTTTTGATTTTAAAGAAGAGAATACTAGTTTTATGTCTAAGTTTGTGCAGTAACGTCTGACCAAGTTATGTAGTTTTCGTTTGTGATTTGTGAGTAGTGGCCAATGTAAGGTAGCTTGAAGTAATGGATTGGGGTTTGGCTTGTGTGTGGTCTTGTTCATTGTTAGTTGTGTTAAAGTTTGTGTCGTTGTTAAATGTTTTTATTACATGAGTCATGTATTAACTCCATTCAAATATTCATTCATTATACCGCACTAAAGATGGCACAAGTTTGCCAAAACATGTTTGCAATAAAAAATTTAAAAAAAATTGTCGTTTACGTTGAATGCATCATTTCAATCATGCTATTACGAAATTATAAAAAAATGATTCTACAACGTCATCAGTCACGTCACTACGGACTCACATGAGAAGCGCGCGTCGCTTGTCGATAAGTGCACTGCGTGTTCGTTGATCAGAGAGGAACAAATACACACTTAAGTTATATAATTCCTATCACTTTAAAAGAGGACAGGTAACGAATTTTGAGTACAACCATATTTTATAATTCTCCTTATTTCAACATTTGCCATTTAGCAGGTATGAGTAACATTGAAGAAACACCTAATGGCATAGAAGACATATCAGCGGGCAAACAACAGCCTGATACTCAACTATTACTGAAGAGCTAGCTGAATTGAAATCAATGATACGTATCATGTAGCAGCATCATCAAACAAGGAATGATACAAACTCAACTCAACAACCCGACGTTGAGGAAAACCTTAATAGCCGATATAAACGGCGCCGAACGAACTCTACTTCGTTGGACAGTGAAGACGATATCCGTCAGGAGAAAAAAAGAAAATGAAAATCTTACAAATCAGTTAATGATACTCACACATGAAAAACAACTCGAAGGAAAATGACAAAATAAGTTGTTTAGGATAAACTCGACGATGATAACATCTCTGAGTTTATTGACGATGATAAAACAGAAACAAAGCAAGTTCAACCGATGACACACTTCAATAGCTAACTGAAATATTTGACGACACGGAGCCCACAGGAGATGATATTAAACCACATCTTGCAACCATTGTCGAGAAAGGTGGCAGAAAAAACTTTCTTGACAAACTAAAGTCAATCCAAGACAAATACAAACGACCTGGCAATTGCCCTTCTGTACGCTCCATCACGGTAAACCCCGAAATATGGGCCAAACTGCCATTCTACCAACAAAGAGCAGACCAAAACATATCAAATATACAAGAAGCAGGACGAAAAACAAATCTTATTATAATTCATTGCTCTAAGCACAACAAAGGAAAACGACCTTGACATTAAAAAACTATTAAGTCAACAAGTTGACTAAATAGCAATGCTTGGACACATCAGCCATGAACTGGCAAGTGTTCGCAAGAATAGAATAATATGTGTTCTAAAACCAGATTATGCCCCCATATGCTCAGATAACGGCGAATGCAGCAAATTCTTTGGGGATGACTTATCAAAGATTGCAAGAAGCAAAAGAAAGGAGCAATGTAAGTCAGGAAGTCAAATACAACCAACTCGATCAACCCCATCTCGCTCATATAATTATGATTAACGACATTGGCGCCAATATGGATCAAATTATGAAGGTGAAGAGCAGTCAGATTTTCACAAGCGCGGGAAATCATACTTCCAAAGGAAAATGTGACAAAACACACAAGATATAATTCACCAATTACAACATATGAAAATACACCGGTAAGCAAATGGGAAAAATTTTATTCCAAAGTTAAAGAAACCCTTAATTACTTTATGTGACAGCTACAAAGTGGGCAGAATAACAAATCACTTTTGGCATGGCTCGATATTTTATCTAATGTAAAAGGATGCCAATCGATCTGTCGGAAACGACTTTACCAACATCACTTTTGCCCAACAAATTTAAACGAAATTCAATTGTTGCAAATAAAAATGAGGCCTCGTCCACACGTATACGGAGTTTTTAAAACGGAGGTTTCCCGTTTTGCCCTTTGCGTCCATTAATCTAAACGGCGTTTTCGCCTACCAAAACGATGCTTTTAAATACGGCTTCCAGAGGATTTTTGAAAACGCCGGTTTCACAACTACGTGTGGAGGGTTAAACGGAGGTTTTCTAATACGATGACCGGATGACGTATTATCGAGTCCGGATGGAGCATGCGTTTCGCGCCGAATTCAAAACATCAGTTCAAAGCATGGTTCAAAGGTTCAAAGTTTAGCATTTGTTCAACATAGCGATGCAAAATTGTATAGCTATTTTACTCGGGCTTCTTTCAAGCATCATAGCATGTATTGAGTTACAAATAAACGTCTTGAAGGTTCACGTTGATTATTTAAGAAAACGAATTAATATTATGAGGATGATCTCTATTTCAAAGTCAAGGAAAGTTGTTATAAAACGAACAATAAAAAGGCGAGGAAGGCATGCTCTCTCTACACATGTTCTTTCATATCGTTTTTTCGTATTGCGATCGTATTTGCGTATACGTGTGGACAGGCGAAAACGATTCAAATACGCTAAGTGTGGACGCAAATCTTTTCAAAAACGGGGAAAAAACCTCCGTTTTTAAAAAACTCCCGATACGTGTGGACGGGGCCTGAGATTGATAGAATGATTGCAAAAAATATAATAGCAACCATAAAACACGAACCAGATAAATTCCCTCAAATAAGTGAAAAGAGACGGCACATATAGGGTCATACTAGATCTTAAAGTTTTAAATACTTTTGTCTTATTACCATTTAAAAATTGACTCACTAACTGCGATCTCTAAGCTTGTAGAACAAAGCTGCTACATTTGTAGTATTGACATCAAGAACACCTACTGCTCAATCTCCATAAAATACACTGACAGGAAATACCTGAGATTTCACTGGAAGGGTGTTTTATATCAATTTACGTGCTTGCCCAACGGCTTATCTAGTGGACCGCAAAACTTCACAAAAACTCTAAAACTTCCCTTAGCTACATTGCACTCAAAACTGCACATCATCTCTGGACATGTGGATGATTTTCATTTACAAGGGAAAACTTACGATGCATATCAGAACAATGTGATACTTACAGTGACATTATTCCTAGTGCATCCAGAAAAATTGATATTTATCCCTTCCTGGAAATTAATAACACTGGGATTTGAAATTAATTCCGTCACAATGACTGTGAAATTAACAAAAGAAAAGGTCTCAGCAATAGAAACAGATTGTATAAAATTCATAAAGAAAGCGAAATGGGGAGTAAAAATTAGAGACACGGCCAAAATAGTGGGTAAACTAGTATCAAGCTTTCCTGGTGTGTTACATGGACCCTTAAACTACAGAAATTTAGATAGGGACAAAACATCTGCATTAACTCTAAGTAAGAGAAACTTCGACACATATATGATGGTTTCTGCTGAAGCCTTTGCCAAACTACATTGAATAGTTGGTCGAATAATGTGATGAATGCCATTAAACACATTTTTCATGGGGAATCGTCGCTTACTATTACGACAGACGCTTCAAACAAAGGTTGGGTGGCAGAATCGCAAGGTATTAGCATAGGAGGTCTATGGTCACACCAAGAGACAAAGAACACATAAATTACTTAGAGTTGCTTGCCTCCTACCTAGGACTACAACCTTTTCCCATTCCCAACACAATGCACACATCTGTCTTATGATTGACAATACTTCAGCAGGGAGCATCATAAGCAATATAGGAACTAGCCACTCTGAACGTTGCAACAATCTTACAAAACAATTATGGGAATGGTGTATTGCCCGGGAACTATGGGTCAATGTGGCGCACATTTCGGGGGAAAATAACTTAATTCCGATTTTGAATCTAGGCGAAATGAACGAGCCTGTGAATGGATGCTTGATAAAAAATATCGACATGAGGCTTGTAAAGAGCTCGAATTTTTGCCGGACATTTATTTATTTGCATCAAGAATCGAGAAACAATTCAACAAATACGTTTCTTACAGACCAGATCCGGAAGCTTTATTTGTGAATGCTTTTAGCATAACTTGGTCAGAACATTCATTCTATGCTTTTCTACCTTCCAGTATCATTGCCAATGTTCTACAGAAAATAAGGAACGACAAAGCGCGAGGCATATGTGTGATGCCAAAATGGTCAACTCAACTCTCGTATCCTATAGCTCTTACAATGCTAGAGAAGCCCCAATAGAACTAAAAGCATCACCGAGCCTTCTCATTCTACACAGTCATTCAACAAAAGTACACCCCCTTTTCAAGGAACTTACCCTGATTGTCTGCCTTTTATCAGAGAAAAACTGGGAAACCAAAATCTTTCACGGGCTGCTCAAGACATTATCATATCATCATGGAGAAAAGGTACTTTAAAACAAAACCGCACCTACATATTACGCTGGCAGGAATTTTGTCGATGTAAGGGGTTATCGTTATACAGCCCTGGAATGGCGAATGCCATTGAATTCCTAACTGAAATGTACAAATCTGGACTAGGATACAGTGCAATAAACACGGCAAGATCTAGACTTTCCTCAATAATACTACCTACTTCAGGTTTTACGTTTTGCAAAGACCGCTTAGTTTGCAGGTTTTTGAAAGGGGTGTTTGAACTTAAACCATGCCTTCCAAAATATACCCACATATGGGATGTTAACACCGTTTTACTTACTTAAAAACATTTGAACCCAAAAAGGAGATGGCGTTGAAAGATATCACAACAAATCAGGAAACTCTACTCTGTTTACTAAACAGACAGCAATGCCAGACTATACACAAAATTAACTTAAATTTCATACAAGTTCATGATGAAGAATGTACGATCACAATACGTGAAATACTTAAACACACAAAGGCAGGTAAACACCAACAACCTATAAGATTCAAAGCTACCCAACAGATAAAAAACTCTGCATCATAGAGTACCTTAGACAATACATAACCCGTACTGAAACTTTAAGGGAGAACAATCGCAACTCTTCATCAGTTTCACCAAACCTAACAATCCAGTGACCAAAGACATCATTGCCAGATGGGTAAAATCAACTTTGGAAAAGTCTGGAATCAACACCAAGAAATTTACATGCCACAGTACTCTGGCTGCCTCAACTTCATATGCTAAAACACCTGAACTAAACTTGAGACAAATCATGCTGTCAGCGGGATGGTTAAATGGTACCACATTTGCAACTTACTATTAAAAATATGTTGATACAGACACTTTTGGTAAAGTGGTACTAGACAGTACAGAAAACAATGAAACTTTGCATGCTACTAACAAAATTTTACCATAAGTTAACTTTTATGAGGTTCTGTTAAATACACCTAAAGTGGAGTACTTTACTAATATTCTCTCAAACTGAGTCCTCTCTATAATACATAATTGATTGATGAAATTGCATCAAACATATCAATTCCCATCTCGCAGCCGCAGAACTTTGAAATCACATGTGACTCCGTTAGTGATGTTACTGATGACGTTGTAGAGTTCTTAAATTAAACAAGACTTACCTGTAAGTTAATGTTTGATTGGAATTCTACTAGTCATTAGTCAGGAACGAAGGAGTCACATGCCCTGCCTTACCCATCCCTCCAGTGACTCCTTCGATTACTTAATTTCTGAGACGCGCGCGCGTTTCTCATGTGACTCTTTCGTTCTTGACTTATTACTAGTAGAATTACAATCAAACATCAACTTACAGATAAGTCTTGTTTAATTTAAACAATCAACTATCAGCCGTCTTGAAAATAACACCAATAAATTTGAATTAAAAAAGATGCGTTTAAAACGTCGAATTTAATTCAGATATTGTAGTTCAAATCAAAAACGTCATAATTGCTGTTAACAATTCAATGCAAATTGCGTAGCATTGACAAAAGCGGCATTTTATGATGGTGTTATCATTACACATGCCCATTTTAAATATCATGTGAAAATAGTCGACAATTGCCAATGAGGTTGAGAACGATATCAAGAACTATTTAGACTGAAGTCAAATTGTTTTATTGTACATTATAAGTGCAGAAGCTTTCAATATTTTCTATGGAAGTCATAAAGTCTTCCATACTTGGACATGAGCCGGCTTTTTGAGTTCTTTTTACGCCTTTTTTCAATAATTCGTATAAAGAGAGTTTGCAAAACACTTGAAAATGTCAAACAAGATTCCCACCGAATACTTCTTACGATGTCAGTAGCCACACAATCGAGATTGCACCATTGTAAAAAAGAATTAAGATTTGAGTTCATTTTCGAGTTCCACGACAAAGTACAAATGAAAAAAATTTTTTTCCGTATGCTCAATCCCTGTCAATTTTTTTTCAATTTTAGCTATAAGGGTGTCTTAAAGAGCACATCTTTGACGACATTTACAATCTGACATTTAGAATCTGACAATCCTATAAGGAGTCCTAAACACAGTTGAATACAATAATTTATACGTATTTAAGCTAATTTATTTTATATCTTATCTATATTTCAAGCTGTTTCTTTTAGATTCTTCATTTTAAGCAAATATTTTTTGGCTTTTGCTTGCCAGCTTCTGAGCTTCAGAAGTACGACTAAATTTCACAATAGTGCTCATTTTCGACATTTTTTTAAAAGTGGCTATATTTACGGTTCCGTAAACGGACTTTGCTACGCTGTATTATTTACAGTAGTGTTATTAAAAACTTATATAATGAAAAAATTTCGATATTACTACTACTTTAAGAGGCTTGTGTAGTTTAATGTAAGTGTTAAGGATTTGGCGGGATGTGACATCGGGTTTGAAACTAGCTTCAGCTATCATATTTTTTTAAATATGATAAATATTTATTTTAGAAGGAATTTTTCTGTATTTCATATATTATTTGTGTATTTCTGTATTTGTGTATCTACAATTTGTGTATACATTATTTGTGTATTATACATTTGTGAATATCATAAATTATTTGCAACTGGCGTTATACATATTATGAAATAAAGTAATAAACGCAAGCAAGAACAGTACATATTAACCAACCTTAATAATCTTAGCAATTTGACTTTCTTCTTTTATATATTTTCTTATAGGCCGCAGAACACGAGGACTCCAGTGTATTACTTTCTTTTGAGAAACTTTTGGAAAATGAAACTGCGCAATATTGTTATTCCGATCTCCCACAACGTTACAGGTGGTTTATTCAATGATTCTACGTATTTCTACATATAATAGTGTAGCCATCCTGCAAATTTACTTCCGCTATGCAAATTTTGAAACATTATCATTTTCATTTCATTAGAAATCTATTGTTCACAAAAACACAAAAATATTTGCATAGAGGGAGTAAAAAGTCGGGCTGGCTACACTACAGCATATTAAAGTAATAGTTTGAGCACGGAGTGTCATAATATGTTTGGAGATGTCCTTTAGAAAAGGTTAACCAAACTTCAGCACTTTGTTATGTGTTAAACTCTAAATTATCAATCAGACAACGATGCAGTTTTGAAATATTTAAAGACTATAGTGTTTATAGTCTTTGGAATTTTATGTTGCTTGATGCATTTACTAAAAACGTAAGCAAGTGCAAGCTCCTGGAAATTTTGGTCAAAAATTGCGCTCTTTCACGAATCACTATTGAGAATTAAGTATGAACCTTTTGGCCCAACTTTGTTAGGTTAGCTACTTTGTGTTGTATGTTTAATTAAGTATTGTATTGTCGATGTTTATGTAAAGTTAGTCATTATGTAAAAGTGCAAAGGGTTTTCGAAAAGGGAAGCTTTTATACAACTGCCAGTAAAATCGTAAGAAAAAGCAAATAATTAGGAGTAAACAAACTCTGGTATACAAAGTTCTAGCTCTTTTAGGGCATTTTAATATGCATCCTAATATTCATTAGATATGCATCCTTTGTTGTCGATCACTTAACCCAATACTTTTCTCATCTTCTATAACTTGGTATAAAAGTCAATACCATTCCATCAGTTAAAGATATTGGTATTATTTAGACAGTTCCTGTATTGCCAGACTTAGTGGCGACCATTGAGTTCTATGATAACTAGAGAAACTATCTCAAGCGCTGCTTTAGGTATCGGATGTTGTAAAAAACTTGGCGGATTTCGCCCTCTTCCGCTGAGAATTATCGAAAATGACTGCTTTTCCAAAAATTTTGCATTTTCCACTTCCCCCTTTGGAATTTGGCAAGCAATTTTTTGATGAAAATCAAGGTAAAAAACTAAAAATTATAACAGCGAGTTAACTGTGGTTGCTAGTTTTCGGCTCGTAGAAGGGATGCCTTTTATAACTATTGATGAAGGAGCTATTCGTCAGTCACATAAGAATGAAGATGTGCGTTGTTTATTACCAACTTAGTCAAGTGAGAAACTTGTTCGCTCACTGAAACTTTTTAGTCTATCGACGACTTGCCTTGTTTACATTTTGCTGGCAGGTTTGTTGATCACAAAAGAGGTTAACCACCATTGCTCGTTTAATCTCAAAACACTCGACCAAATCTACCAACCAGCAAAACGTATTCTAGGCAAGTCATCTATACAAAAAGTATACCATAGTTTATCTTTACCGTTCTGGAAAGAAACGTTAGCTTGTTCGTTATCATTACTTTTTTTGCTTCTTTTCATGCACTGGGTGATGGCTTTTTTTGTCAAAATTGTACAATTTGTACTTGTTGCTGTAGAAGAACAACTTGTAAATCTTTGGATAGTTACAGCTTGACTTATTGTATGTGATTTTCTGTAATTAAATTTCATAATAAATTTGAAGAACAATTGAATTTGCATAAGTTTGATGAATAAAAACAATCAATACTGTATATAAATCACTAAGTTACACTTTTTTTGTGTTCTGAACTGCAACTGCATCAAATACCATTACATGTAAAGTTATTACACATTTTGATTTCTTTGTATTGAAATACTATATATGCAAAAAGTAAATAATCATGAAAACACTTGTGCTTGCAATGAGATATATAATTGAAGGTTGTGAATACAGAATTGTGATCATTAAGTTTATTAAGTGTAAACAGACAGTACATCTGATTTGTATTTCAAAACTATTACTTAATTCGCCGCTTTTATCATTTTTTCTGTTCCACTTCCCGCTTCCAGTTGGTAATGTTGAAGTGAATTGCGAACGAAATAAAATACACAAACCTTCTTGGAATGATGTATAGAGTGAGCTGAATAAGCGAGCTCATCGAGATCATAAGTTACGAATTTTGAAAGAAAGAATAAAGGGAAAATTGTTAATGTTTGTTTTTCCTGTAATGAGCCTGAAAAGAAGGTCGTGTATGAGGATGCTGTTACGGTGAAAAGCGAAAAAACTTTCCTTAAAAGTAGTGTGTCTGGCGTGCTAGTATATTTTCGTTCTGAAGATGAAAGACGAATTCCTTTTGGTTATGGTATTGCCCGGGTTTGTCACGGGGAACTCTGCGAGCCAGGGTATAAGTATTATATATGCTTCAAACTGAGTAAGGCTTTAAAAAAGTTATTTGGTGAAGAAAACTGTGAGAGCTGTGGCTGTTTTCATGAATGTGCAAAAATATGCAATGATGCGCATTATTGGAAAGCATCTTGTCATTTTAATTCTATTCTTTTCAAATATATTCCACACCACACCTGCATTGACAGTTTTTAAACATCTTAAATTTATATAGGATAGTTAATCAGTCAAAAAGAATGAAGCAGTTCTAGAGAGCTGCATTTTTTTGAAGTTATCTTACTCAATAATCATATATTTTTATACAAAATATAACAATATGTAAGACAATTGAATCAATTTTGTAGAAGGAAAGATCTCAAGGAAATTGATTAAAGTTAAAGTTCATATTTCATTATTTTTTAACTGTGCTGGTCAGACGCTTGAAAAATGCAGAGGGCTGCGCCTTAAGGAAAAACATCCGGCTTAAAAACCTTTGCCAAAATGAAATATGTAAGATCAGTTTTATGACTTTTATGTAAGATCAGTCGCATGTAGACTGCCTAAAATGGAATTGGATTACAGTATGTCTACAAAAAGGAGTGAAACGCATCTTCAAAAAGGAAGACAAGAGGAGAGACAGAGTTGAGCCCTGCATGAAGTAAGAAATAGAAATGTTTGGATAACGAAAGTAAAAGCTAGACAGTTATTGGACATAATGTAACTGGCAAACGTAAATATCTTAAAAAGGAAAGTAATAAAGCTGGAAGATGAAAGCAGGATTTGCAATGGATTGACAAAAATGTCACCCCATAGAAAATTATCGTAACAGGTTCGTAGCTTCGGAGATAAATGCAGAAAGTAAAAAGACACGGGTAAAGAATAAATAAAACAAAAATAAGCAATTGAAAACAAAATAAATATTAACAAACATTAAGAATAATAATGAAGCTATGCATGCGCCTGCAAAGGACACGACAGCTAAATATTTTTTCAACAAGCTTCGCTAGTTATCCTTTACATCTACTTCTAAACATTTGAACAATCTCATTGTCATTTGATCACTTTCATTTTTTTTTAAGTCACTTAAATTTGCTAATCAGTTTAACATTATAGGTTGAAGTCATGGATGAATTTTAAATCGAATGAATTATTTTATTTGAAAGATATTTTTAAATAGGCTCTTTTTTTGTGTGCTCATTGTCATATTAAACACACTCAATACAACATATTCTATATGTTCTAAATTTAAAAAATTATGCGTAGACAAAGCTATAATAAAGCACCCCTTTGTTCACCATCAAGTCATCTTAATCAAATAATTTTTATTGGAGAGGAGTAGGGTACGTTTTTATCGACTATTAAGCTGTTTTATTTTAAGGAAAAAAGAAAAATATTAATCTTGAAAGAGGAGTTTGTGAAGAATGTAGTAGATACGAGAATTTCAGTAATATGCGCAAAAGGTTTTAATGTTTAGTGGAACAGGTGGTTCACAATAATCTCTAATGGTAGAATGTAAAGTAGAGGAAGAAATTTTAGTGTAAAAGATGAAGTGGTAAGGAGTATTTCATGATATGTGAGGATAGTGATTTTTTTACTTTAAGGGACATGTTAGTTCAGGCAACTGACATTATGAGAAAATAATGAGCAGGTTTAGCGTTCATAATAGGAACATAGAAGGACAGATGGTGGTGGAATTTGCAAAAAGTATAGAAATGGCTGTATTAAATAGATTTTACCACAATGGATAAGAACATCAGGTGAATGTTGTGGCAGATGAACATGTAGCCAGACAGCCTAAAATGGTAGTGTGGATAATAGCTATAGCGGAGAGCATGATAAATTGGACAAAGATGTTAAAAAGAGCAAAGTATTAGAGACTGAAAAAGGAAGAATGCTGTGTAGTTTATGTGGAGAAGTTGAAACAGGCTCTAAGTGATCAGGATGTGCTTCCAGAGGACTGGCTATTCAAGCAAATGTGATCTGGAGTACGGGTGAATAAATATTTGTAAGTTGTGAGGAAGTAAAGTACATCAGGACATTAGGTGGAGGAATGAAGAAGTGCAGGAGTGTGTCATAAGAAAAAGAATAGAAAAAAGATGTGAAATATAACGAAATAGCTAAAGATAGTAAAATGGAGCACATGAGCAATATCATAATGTTAAATTAGTAGTGGCAAAAACAAAACAAAAGGTATATGATGACTTGTATTATTGATAGGATTGTCTAGAAGGAAAGAATGATTCATATAGATTCGCCAGGTAAAAAAAAAAGATGCAAAAGATATGCAGTACTTTAGAGTTATTAAGTACAAACATGGAAATCTAATAAAAGATAACAAAAGTGTGATAAAAAGATGGCAAAAAATTGCGAAGAATTGATAAATAAGAAAATAAGAGCTATCAGTGTAAGATAGGTGGCTGAATTAGATAAAAATGTTGTAATTATTAGTAAAGATGAAAGTTTGACATTAAAGATCTTTCGGCCTTGATGACATACTTGTAAAAACCTAAAAATGTTCAGAAGAGTAAAAGTGTCAGCTTCCAGCACAAAAAGAGGAGCAGAGCACTTTCCTTCAGCTATGAGTTTAACATTTATGTTCTCGTAATGTAAAGCACACGGTACTGCGTTTTGGGCATGACGTAACTAAGACAGCTCAAGACATCAGATCTATGAACGAAATCGTTAGTACATAATTAAAACACATAGTTACACAAAGTTAGAACACATAGAATTTACACTAAGACTTACCGCCAAAATGACAGTGGGATACAAGTTTAATATCAGAACGTGAGTACGCCATATCGCTCCAGTAAAAAGTACCTCAGAGGAATCCAAAAATCTCACCAGATCGACAGATACTTAAAAATAAGTACGCAGTTCGTACATGGGGTAGCTTTGACCACAAAATAGAAAACAAACAGAAGTGAATAGTTTCGCTTTACTGTGCTATTGTGCATTTTTCATTAAATTCAATACTGGGTGTTATTAGCCATCTCAGCGTTTCTACTGGTCAGACAATGGAAACTACTTTCCTTATTACGTTAATTACATGAGCAATAGAATATTACTACATAAAAATATTCAGTAGAGTGGTAGGACTGTTTTCGTTCCATGCTGTGGCCTTATGATGAATAACGTAAAAATGTAACGTTCATAAAACTGAACATAAGAACATTTTTAGATAATTCACAAAGTCATCGAAGGCTACCCGCAAAAACGACTTTGACAGATTAAGTCTCCTGTAAAAAATTCTGAAATCAGTTGTAGATTACATACCATTTATACACATCTTTTATTGGAATGCTAGAGTAGAGTTGTTTCAAAGGGACTTCTTCCTGTTAAAATGTTAAGCATGTATAATGCAAACAACAACATTAAATTGTTTACCATGCAGGTATGCACACACTCGTTTGTGCATTACTTAAAGCAAATTTCAAAAAAGCAAGACATCTTGAGATTGCAAAATATGCATCAAAGCAAGACGAGAAGTGAAATGTAAATTTTCGACTTTATTTCAAATCATCCTCAGACAGAATGATGTTTAAAACCATATATATACCTATATATTTACAACGCATGAAACAAGTAAACGGAAGTAAGCAATGTCGGCTGGTCATAGCTTTTATTACTGAAAGCGAAACAAAAATTTTGTTATTTCAATTATATTTTCATAAGATAAAATTTTTAAAATGACACTAGACTTTACAAAATAGTCTATGCATGTCTCTTTTCATTTTCAAGATACCTAGCTTTTTGTTTACTACAAAACCCAATTTACAAAACAAGTGACATCACAATGCATATTTACAACTTGAATTATCAGGTATATTTGGCAATGTATTCATCAGCCGGGCATGCCGAGTTCCCGTTGTGAACTGTTAATGATATAAAATTCTGCCTCTGCATTTCTTGAAAGAGTTGCTATAAAACAATAACAAAATTTTCAGTGACGATGTAGTGCTGCAAGTATAAGAACATTACAACTTTTACTTGCTTTCACACTAGTTGTAAAACTAAACGTCGAGTAGCTGGTGAAAAATTGAGTTTCTCAAACAAACACGAAGAAATGAAGCAAATTTCCAAAAAAATTTCCATAGGAGATATCACCGATGACTAAGAATAATTTTACATTCCTCATAAGAATAAAGCTTAACAAATAAAACTTGGTGCTTCCTAAACATTAAAAGGAAAACTGATATTATAGGATTTATAGCCATTAAACTTAATGATTGTAGAACGATTTCTTGCGTGTCTAGTGTTATTGAGGAGCCTGATTGAAAAAGAGTGGCAGAAAAATTAAAGAGGAAGTGCTCTTGGTTGAAATACGAAAAAATGGCAAAATCCTGACGTGTTTCTTCAAGAGCCTTATCAACATTGAACGTAAGCTTCCTTTCTGAAAGAAAGAGAGATTCGTTAGTGCTAATATATTTCTACAATGAGGACACGAAAGCACATAGATCTTGGGTATGGAGTTTGTATAATAAAAGCTGTTGAGACTTTTTATTCAGTCTTTAGAATAAACGATGCACTGAAGCAATGTATAGGAAATATCCACTATGGTAATCACATGCGCGTAATAAGATGTGGGGGTGGCACTTATTACATAGCACAACACAAACTGTTTTTTTTTTGTACAAATATAGATATACAGAAAACTACCTTATAGAGATTTTAATTTTCTTCCACACAATTTACGAAAAACTTCGAATAAGAAATAACCAGAGAATAAACCTCTGTTTTTATCGCTTTTAAATAGCTCTTTTCAGTGTGCCCGTTGCAATCTGATATTTTGGATACCAGTTGCCTTTCTCATCCAGAGCTCATAGCAGTTATGCAACTGTAATAGGTCGGGACAGGGAGGATCACTTCTTATTATGTAAATCATGTGATCCGAAAAGCATGTAATTTAGGAAAATTTGAATAAGCTTCGATTAATCTTAAGCAAATAAAGAAAAAATACAGTCAAAATGTCGGGGGGGCTTCAGTTTCAAATTTTTTTTGTTTGCTGTCTCTCGTGAAAATTTTCTTGCCAAATGTCCAACACTCATACACTTCCTTATCACCTTATCTTCAGGGGAGTGAGTTATATGCAGGGGGAAATAGATCAATTTTGCCATTCTTTTGGTGTCAGCTGATCCAGTTATACAGAACCGTTGAGCTGTAACATCAACTAGAATGATTACTCTATACAAACGCTTTTTGATTTGATAAGTCAACTGGAAGGCCCTGGGATTATGCAAAACTATGATTCCAAACACAAAATCTTCTAAACATAGTTTTGTAAGCAAAACATGCTTCAAATTTGTGTAGTATAAAGATGTGAAAATTCAGACGGATATGAAAAGGTCCTAACCACAGATCTTTGCATCAGCAAAACGTTTTATTTATAGGCAAGTTTAATCTTTACTTGCTTTACTGTGTTATCAACTATTACATGTAATGCATATAAGAAGTTTTTCAGCGTATTAATTACTTAATCTTCGTTTAGTAGTAGTGGTAACGATGTTGCATAATGCATTCTTTCAGATTGTATAAAAAAAACATTTCCGACACTATAAATTAAATGTATAGGTACAGACAAGCAGTTTATTAAGTACGAAAGGACATTAAATCTGACTTGTTTTTCGAAACTGTTACTTAATTCGTCTCTTTTTTCTTGTTTTCAAATTCCCGTTTAAAATCATCCATTTCCCGCCTCCAATTTTCCCACCACTCCTTCTTTTTCTTTTTCACCATATTTCCTCGTTTTTCATTTTCCAAAGATTTCACCTTTCTTCAAGCTTCGTATTTTTTCCCTCGCTTCCTATTTTTATTTTCCAAAGATTTTATCTTTTCCTCAGCTTAGATGATGAAATCGCCTCAAAAACAATTTGAGGTTACCAATTTTTTCTTACCTCATCAATTTTACTCCGTAATTCTATTGCCGTGTCCATTTGAAATGTTATTTTACCTCGATTTAATAAACGTCATTTCCGGTGGCAATTGCTGAAACGTCTCGATTTTGGCGACTTGTACTCCAAGATAGGAAGGTATGATTGTTGAATGATGTCTCTTTGAATATTGAGTAAATAGAATTATAACACTTTTCCCATATGTTATCTATTTTTATAATTTTTCATATTGTACCAGTGAATTTTAGCTGGTTCCAACTTCATCAATTTCTAAAAGATCTTATTTGTTTGAATTTCTTATTATGTTCAAAGATCATGAAACATGCATTAATTTAGCATTTCAAGTTAACGAATATCATTTACAAAGACGTGTTCAAAATTGATTTGAAATAAGTGGAGAAATTTTAACGGAAGTTAAAATGAGCCCATTATACCAACAAAGAACTTCTTATCAAGAATGTCATACCGTAAATTGTTTATTGTCAAAAAGGTCAACATTTCATTTCTTACATTTTTGAATTTTCATGATATAATTAAACGTCACCGAGATTCTTTTTCGTTACTTTCCATGTATGAAAAATTGATTATGTATCAACTATCAGTCGTCTTGAAATTAACACCAAGTAAAATTGAAGTAATAGAAAATGCGTTTAAAACGTCGGATTTAATTCAGATATCGTAGTTCAAATCAAAAACGTCATAATTTCTGTTAAAAATTCAATGCAAATTGCGTAGCATTGACAAAAGCGGGATTTTTTGATGGTGTTATCATCACATATGCCCATTTTAAATATCATGTGAAAATAGTCAAAAATTGCCAATGAAGTTGAAAACGATATCAATAACTATTCAGACTAAAGTCAAATTGTTTCATTGTACATTAATAAATGCAGAAGCTTTCAATATTTTGTTTGGAAGTCATAAAGTCTTCCATACTTTGACATGAGCCGGCTTTTTGTGTCTTTTTTACGTCTTTTTTCAATAAATCAAGTAAAAACAGTTTGCAAAACGCTAAAAAATCTTAAACAAAATTCCCACCGAATACTTCCTTTGATGTCATTAGCCACATTGAAAATTGCGTCGCCTAAATTTAATTTCCGTTTGCTCAATCTCTGTCAGCATTTTTTCAATTTTAGCTATAAGGGTGTCTCAAAGAGCACATCTTTGATTACATTTACCATCTGACGTTCAGAATCTGACAATCTTATAAAGAGTCGTAAACGCAGTTGAACACAATAATTTTTACGTATTTAAGCTAAGTTATTTTGTATCTTATCTTTATTTCAAGCTGTTTCTTTTAGATTGATCTTTTTAAGCAAACAATTTTTGGCTTTTGCTTGCCAGCTTCTGAGCTTCAGAAGTACGACTAAAGTTCACAATAGTTCTCATTTACGACATTTTTTAACAAAGTGTCTATATTCACTGCGGCGTAAACGGACTTTGCTAGGCTGTATAATTTAAAGTAGTGTTATGAAAAACTTAAATAATGAAAATATTTTGATATTACTGCTACTTTAAAAGGCATCTGTAGTTTAGTGTAAGTGTTATGGATTTGGTAAGATGCGATATCGGGTTTGAAACTAACTTCCGCCATCATATTTTGTTAAAAATGATAAATATTTATTTCTTCATAAAATGAACTTTATCTTGAATTTTTTTTCAATAAAACAATATAGCTAGGAAAAACCTCTTTATGAGAAAATTTTCTGAATTTCATTTATTATTTGTGTACTTCTGTATTTGTGTATTATACAATATGTGAATTTCATATATTATTTGCAACTGGCGTTAAACATACAATGGTATAAAGTATTAAACACAAGCAATAAAAGTACATATTAACCAACCTTAACAAGCTTATAATTTGGACTTTCTTCTTTTATTTTCTTATTTGGGTGCCGAACCTGCGGACCCAAGTTTAGTGATCTTGATTTGACAAACCTCTTTTGGAAAATGAAACTGCGCAATATTGACATTCCATTCTCCCCACGTCGTTACAGATGGTTGGTTCAATGATTCTACATATTTCATCGAAAATTCCAACAACAGCAGAGCGCAATGTTCTTAATGTTAACTTAAATGAAGTTTAATCAAAGAGCAATTATGTACACACAATTTAAAGTGAATAGTCTGAGCCCGGAGTGTCATAATATGTTTGGAGATGTTCTTAAGAAAGTTTAACCCAATTTCAGCACTTTGGTATGTGATAAACTCTAAATTATCGATCAAACAAAGATACAGTTTTGAAATATTTAAAGATTATAGTGTTTATAGTCTTTGGAATTTTACGTTGCTTGATGCATTTATAAAAAAAGCAAGCAAGTGCAAGCTCCTGGAAATTTTGTTCGAAATTGCGCTCTTTCACAAATCACCATTTGAGAATTGAGTATGAACTTTTTAGCCCAACTTTGTTTGGTTAGCTTTGTATGTTTGATTAAGTATTGTAT